ATAAAGTATAAGGTGGTTAGGAGGAGGGAAAAGATTAAAAGTTAAAAAATGGAAAAATGCTCTACTGTGATAACATTAGTTCTTTAAAAAAATAAAAAGCTAGAGTGGCTGTATTAATATCAGAAAAATCAGAGCAAGTAATTTTGCAAGGGTTGAAAAAGGTCTTTTTCTAATGATAAAGGGGTCAGTTCTTCAAGAGGATAAAACAGTTCTAAACATTTATGAACTAAATGACAGAATTTGAAAGTATATGAAGTAAACACTGATAACTGCAAGGAGAAATAGATATACCCATAATGATAGTCAGTGTTTCCATTATCCTGTTAGTAATTGATAGAATAAGGAGACTGAAAATCATTAAGGATGCAGGAGACTTGAACAACACCATCAGCCTGCTGGATCTGATTGAAAGTCATAGAACACCATCTAGGGACAGCAGAACATATGCTCTTTTTTTAGTAGAAACACTTACAAAGGTAGATCATATTCTTCTGAACTATAAAATAAGCCTCAAATTTTAAATTATGCAAGCCATATAAAATATGTTCTCTGACCACACTGGAATTAAGAATAATTCTAATAACAGAAGTATCTTTGGAAGTGTCCTGAATATTTATATTTAGTAACTAATATATTTCTAGATAACCCTTCTAGTCAAAGAAGAAGTTAAAAGTGAAATTAGAACGTATTTAGAACTGAATGAAAATGAAGACACAGGCCAGGCGCAGTGGCTCACGCCTGTAATCCCAACACTTTGGGAGGCCAAGGCGGGTGGATTCCCGAGGTCAGGAGTTCGAGACCAGCCTGGTCAACATGGTGAAACCTCGTCTCCACTAAAAATACAAAATTTGCTGGGTGTGGTGGCACACACCTATAGTCCCAGTAACTCGGCAGGTCGAGACAGGAGTATCGCTTGATCCAGGAGTTAGAGACTGCAGTAAGTTGAGAGTGTGCCACTGCACTCCAGCCTGGGTGAGACAGAATGAGACTCCATCTCAAAAAGAAAAAAAAAAAGAAAATGAAGACACAACACATCAAGATTTATGGTATCCCATTAAAACAATACTCAGGGAGAAATCTATAGGGCTAAACACTTTTATATAAAAGAAGACCTCAAATCAGTGATCTCAGATTCCACCTTAAGACACTAGAAAAAGCAAAGCAAATTAAAACCAAAGTTAGCATAAGAAAGGTAATAATAAAGATGAAAGGCCAGGCTTGGTGACTCATGCCTGTAATTCCAGCACTTTGGGGGGCCAAAGCAGGCAAATCACTTGAGGTCGGGAGTTGGAGACCAGTCTGGCCAACATGGTGACACTCTGTCTCTCCAAAAAAAAAAAGAAAAAAAAAATTAGCTGTATGTAGTGGCAGTCGCCTGTAATCCCAGCTTCTAGGAGGCTGAGGCATGAGAATCACGCAAGGCAGAGGTTGCAGTGAGCTGAGATCATGCCACTGCACTCCAGCCTAGGTGATAAAATGAGACTCTGACTTAATTTAAAAAAAAAAACAAACAAAAAAAAACTGGAATCCCAGCACTTTGGGAGGCCAAGGTGGGCAGATCATGAGGTCAAGAGATTGAGACCATCCTGGACAACATGGTGAAACCCCTGTCTCTACTAAAAATACAAAAATTAGCTGGGCGTGATGGCATGCGCCTGTAGCCCCAGCTACTCGGGAGGCTGAGGCAGGAGAATTGCTTGAACCCTGGAGACGGAGGTTGCAGTGAGCCCAGATTGCACCACTGCACTCCAGCCTGGCGCCTGGTGGCAGACCAAGACTCTGTCTCAAAAAAAAAAAGCCAGATGCGGAGGCAGAGAGCTCCGCCGAGATGCTGCGGCCAGTGACGACCCATACAACTGAGCTGCTGCCAAGCACACTCATGAGTACCATGACACTTCCACTGAGAATGCAGATGAGTCCAACCATGACCCTCAGTTTGAGCCAATAGTTTCTCTTCCTGAGCAAGAAATTGAAACGCTGGAGGAAGATGAAGAGGAACTTTTAAAAATGCAAAACTGCTCTGATTTGCCTCAGAGAAGGATCTCCCAGAATGGAAGGAGCGAGGCATCAGTGTCAAGCTCCTGAAGTACAAGGAGAAAGGGACCGTCTGCCTCCTCATGTAGTGGGACAAGACCCTGAAGATCTGTGCTAACCACTACTTCACACCAATGATGGACCTCAACCCAACGTGGGTGGCGACCATGCCTGGGTCTGAAACACTCAATCCAGCCTCACCAGTGAGTGCCCCAAGCCAGAGTTGCCGGTCATCCGCTTCCTGAATGGTGAGAATGCACAGAAATTCAAAACAAAGTTTGAAGAATGCAGGAAGGAGATTAAAGAGAGAAAAAATAAAGGATCAGACAAAATGATCATGCCGAAAAGGTGGTAGAAAAGCTAGAAGCTCTTTGGGTGAAGGAGGAGACCAAGGAGGATGCTGAGGAGAAGCAACAAATCGTCTTATTTTATTTCATTTTCCTTTATTTTCTTTCCTTTTAAAAAAAAAATTTTTTTTTTTTGCCCGGCTCCTC